TCTATGCTCTTTGGTCATAGTATAAGTTACAATGATTCTACAATTTCTGGTATATATATATATATATATATATATATATATATGCTATATATATATATATATATATATATATATATATATATATAGATATATATATATATATATATATATATATATGTGTGTGTGTATATATATATATATATATATATATATATATATATTTGTAAATGTTTGTGTGTATGTGTATCACGTGTATGTGTGTGTATGTGTGTGTCACGTGTGTGCGTGTGTGTGTGTGTGTGATGTTTGAAAGTATGTATGTATGTATGTATGTGAAGTATGCCCTTTTAGCGGTGGATACCCTTACTCAAATGGTGTTTGTTCGGGTCTTTCCGCCTAGTGTTGCTGCTGGGGATGCTGTGCGCTTCTTGGAGGAGCAAGTGTTGGCACTGGGAGTGCCGCAGAGGATTACGATGGACGCTGATTCTGTGTTCAACACTAATGATATGGTTAACTTTTGTGAGGCTCGACAGATTGTGCCGCGTTATGTGTCGATCGATCGTCACCAAGGCAATGGGAGAGCGGAGGTTCTCATCCGTACGGTGAAGGACTGGCTCAAACGTGAGGTGGCGGCTGCTGATGCGGGTGTATGTATATATTTATAAATATATATGTAATGCTAGTATTTTCTTGCCACGCATATGATACTTTGGAAAGTGTGTGTGTGTTCAACACTGCTTGATTCGGCTTGTCACTGGTTTGGTTGGCTACTTACGGAACTTGTCACACGTCTGCTGCTACACAAAAAACATAAACGCTCCACAGCGGAGTAGACCGACCTGTTGTGATTAATAATTGTTATGCTGCAAGTTTCTAGGACTAGTAGATGACGCTGACTATTGTTTCTTGAATGGGCAAGACGCAAACAAACATGTCTATAGTTTTATTTGAAAATAGGATATCTATATTAGTCAAAGTAATATTTGATGGGGTACCAATGCTATGTGCAACGTAGCGGGAGAGTTTCGCTCGTATACTCGCGGACACATCCGGATATTGCCAGGCTTGCCCTGCGTTTCAAACAAACTCACAGAGGCACCACTTGTGGGCTTGAGATTTTTTCTCGTTATACACACAAGAGGTTGACGACTTATTAAATGAAAGCAGAAATGACTGAATTCTCTCTCACTAGAGAGAGAGAGGTTGATTGGGGCCCTCTGACCTGTGTTGAAGAAAACACTCAATCAGGAGAATTGGCCTTCCATTTATGTAGATATATGCATCCACTTCCGAGCATACTTTCGCCTGCGTTCTATATCACGCTAGCCATCCAAGCTTACCCGCTTGTACTAATCAGACATCTCAAAGAGCGATGGGGTGCCTCTATGCACATTGAGATCCAAACAAACGCGCACACTATATAGCGATACCACTATTTTTCCCTTCGCAATAACTAAAAAGTGTACTGTACCGCGAGGCCATGGGCCGTGAGCCGAGTGGGGTTTTACTTATTTTTGTATTTTTTTTCCGAAAAACAAAAAGCGGTATGTATTAAAACATTGTTCCACCACCAATATAAAAGTATCTATCAAGCGATTGGCTACGAATCAGGAATGACCTATTATTATACATTGGATGTTACAGATTTATCTCGAATCGTTATTGGTCGACCAAGCAACAATCTATCCGATCAGCGATCGTCAATCTGACAATCTGCAGTGTGTTTGTAGTATTTAAGTTTCCTATTTTCTGTTGCAGTGCTGCTAAAGCCTGCTGCTATGTATTGTATATTGTATATAAGATCAAAGGAATGATCTGACCAATTAGTCAGTATACCGATAGACACTTCTCGAGTAGTCTCCACGGTCTCTTAAATATAAGAGTGATACAGTAACTACAGAGCTACAGCATCGGGCATGCGAAATCTCAGTACTGTCGCGTCGACGACACACGCCACCGGGTGGGACATCAAGCAGGCGAAGGAGGAGAAGATCCACTCAGATGAGACGAGTATGTGCTAGCTATTGACTCGTGTTCTAACAATTATGCAATAGAAAGATTTTGGGCTCTATTTTAGCCGGTATTGATGAGGTGGTGAAAGAATATGCTATCCCCATCAAACTCTTTCAAAGAGTAGAACCAAATATCAAACAACGTTCCCTTTCAAAATACCAAGCTTTGTCACGGGAGGAGGAGAGTTTGGTGGGGCTCTCATACTGACAGAAACATGTTTTCTAGGGACACCTCAGTCATGAATCCGATTCAGAAGAACAATTACATGGTTATTTCGGTTGTACTCGGTTGTGAAAACTATGCGTTGATTATAGTTCTTTCCGTTTGCACAGACCATGTTGGGGGACATTGTGATTCTGAAGTCGACAAAATCAAGGTATGTAAGCTAAAAAAGGGAGCAAATAATGCACAGTATCTAGCAGCATGAATCATGATATATTTCTACGCATAAAAGATATCAGCACAAACGAAAATATGTATATATATATATATG